CCACTAAGCAGAAGAAGAAGGAGCCAGTCAAATCCTTCGTCAAGAGGTTCTAAAGTATGACTCTTCGATGTTCGTTAGGTATGACACAGTCTACCTTAGTGAAGATCTATCGACACAACTTGTAGACCAACTTTCTAGTACAAATAAGGGTTGCAGAATATCGTTCCTGGATATAACTTATCTCTTAAGGAGAACAGGCTCAAAAAATTATTGTCAAGATCGAAGCCAAAGAATAAAGTAAGCAGAATCAACCTGAGCAAAGTGACCAAACACAATCTTCTCAGTCAGAAGGGGAAGATAATACGGCCACTGAAGCCAATTCTCTTCAATAGGATGGCAGGTCTATAAAGCTATCATGTTAATAGTTACCTCTGATAGCCAAACTCTTTAGATAATAGCATGTTGTGTGACATATTCTATTCATAGTCGTTATACTCCAATGTCATTGAATGACTTAACGGATAATGGCCCACTAGGTGATATGTTATGTCTACCCTTTTTTTTCCTACACTTGTTCAAGACTGGGGGTTGGTTTATTTATGGTCCATTAGATTATGAGTAATAAATTTTCTGAGTTGTCATGATACCTCTGTCAACCACAAAATCCACAAACATCATCATGTTAATATTACACATCCGACAATCCACTTATCAATCCTCTTCAATAGGATGATAAGTCCACAAAGTTGTTCCGATAGCAACAAATTCCTATCATGTTAATATCACACATCTGACAATCATTCATGTCACGTTAATATCACACCTCTGGTAATCATTTCTGTCACGTTAATATCACACCTCTGACAATCAACTGATCGACTCTCTCTAATAGAGCGATAAGTTCTCAAAGTTACCCCGATCATAACAAATTACTGTCACGTTAATATCACACATCTGATAATCATTCATGTCATGTTAATATTACACATCTGATAATCAACTTATCAACTCTCCCTAATAGAGCGATAAGTCCTCAAAGTTTCTCCGATCATAACAAATACCCGTCAAGTTAATATCACACCTCTGACGACCAAATTAACTTATCGGCTCTCTTCAATAGAGCGATAGACCCATAAAATATTGTTAGGTTAATATCACACCTTTAACAGTCAAACCCCCTAATAAACTTGTTAATTATTTTTTTAATAAGAATAGCAAGTTTTTATTATAAAATCCCTAGCGTATTAAAAAATTTCTGAAATTATCCTAGTAACAATGAAGAATTTTTTTGAATTTTACTCTAAGTGAAAATTCATGTCTAATTAATACTACACCTCTAGCACTTCTAACTTTCTTTCAGTGTTTCAAGTAAAAATATAACACAAGAAGAAACAGCGACAAAGCCTACGTATTCAACATCGTAGCACCAAAATCCATATCTTTTATGCATGTGGGATTTTATCTCCATCCCTAATTAGAGATAAATCTACGTCTAACACGTATTGTCGAGTAGTCCATTCCCATGAAAGTGAAAAAGTCTATGTATTCGACATCACAACTCTAAGTCTAAGATGGTTCATTCTTTTAGCACAACGTTAAGATGGAAGGAACATTTCATATGGGTTTCTGGAGCCGACGGGATTCTCTCCTGCTCAAAATGGCCGAAGATAAATAAGGACGCCTTGAGACCGGGTCCTCTTGAGGCTGAGGAGAGGAGACAACTGGAGAAGATCCGGTCTTATGCCAGATCTCGGGAGAGAAATAATCTATTTGACCCGGTGTCGCTTCGGACGACGCACATCTCGATTGGTTTACCCTCGGAGGCCGACCTGGCTAGGGTGAACTTGTTAGCACTTCCTCTTCTAGGGGGTCAGGAAGCAAGGTTTATGGGTGAGAGGCTAGGGCCCGCAACTAGGCCTCAAAAGAGGCAAGGAGGAAATTTAGACCCTAAGGAGGCGTCCAAGTTGAGGTCTCAGATGGACGGATTAGCTGCTGAGCTGGGAGTGGGGAAGAAATCCAAGAAGTCATCCACTTGATGTCATGATCCTCCCGTCACGGCTCAGGCTTCCAGGTCAACTCGAGCCACCCTTATTTTAGAGCAACATCCATTTGAAGGACAATCAAGCGTCGAGGCGAATAAGACTGATATAATCATTGGTGCCACTGTTGGTGCTGAAGCAGTCGATCCTGCTCCTGAGTTCGTATTATCCCGTCGACAAGGCAAAGATCCGGCTGGGTTGGTGGGGGAAATAGCTAAACAGAGAGCACTCTTCTTCCAGCCCCAAGCAGAGGAGACCACCGAAGATTATAATATCGGCAAGGAGGGAGGTGTTTGGCCCTTCCCTCATTGGATTTCGAAAGTAAACTCCGAAGAATGGGAGAGTGCCAGGGCGATGCTATCGGGAGCACCACTAGGCCTTTGCTCCCCAAGAAGGGAGCTCTTTGAAGATGATAAGTTCGTTCCTTAGGCTTTTCTTAATAGGGAGACTTCAGTTCTTGGGTCCCTCTCTGCTCCTATTATGGTTGTGCAACAATTTTTCCTGTTGAAGGATAATAAGGTCTTAAGGAGGATGCCAAGCTTTAGCTTGCATCTAGCCCTTAAGGCTCATCTAGTCCGAGGGGCTTTGTTAGAGTAGGAGCTGTATGAGTGGTTCACGTATATGCATAATGCTCCGCAGGAATGGGATTCCGAGCTAGCTAAGGAGAAGGCGGCCAGGGAAGAGGCCGAGAAGAAGGCCACCGCTCTAGAGACTGAGGTGAAGGGTGCTGAAGTTCAATGGAGCCGAAGTTCCGAAGTTCAGTGGCGTCGAGAGGTAGATGCTAGAGAACAAGTTCTGGAGGGGCTTCGGGCCGAGGGAAGCAAGAAAGCATCCATAATTATAGAGTTGAGAAGTGAAATAGCTCGGCAAAGGAGGGAGATCAATCGTCTCCAACGAGACGTCATTGATTGAGATGAGAAGCTGACTACTTTCACTGAGGATGTTGACTCTGAGAGGGCCCTGAGGGTAGTCACCGAGGAAGTCGTCTGATCGAGTCGCCTCTCAATCAATCAGCTGAGGCGGGTTCTCGAGAAAGAGCAGTCGCCACAGCATAGGGCGAAAATAGTTGAAGACTGGCGCCATAGCCCCATTGGAAAAGTTGAGGTGGCCTTAGCGTGCAAAGCTGGAGTCGGTTATTTCGCTGCTCTGGTGCCTTCCAGCTCATATCCCTCTCGTGAGAGCTTTTATCCTTTGGAAGTCTCTTGCTGTCTCGATCTTCTTAGGGATTTCGAGGAGAGAGAAGAGAGATTGTTATCAGTGATAGCGGCGAGTCTTCAGACGACGCAGATGAGGAACCGACAACTGTTATTCTGCTAATGGAAGGGGGACTAAAGCCCTTATGAAGCCTGCTCCTCCTACTGATGCTAGCGCTCTGGGCCAAGAGGCTCTGGCTACTCCTGCTGATGCGGACGCTCCACCTCCGGAGGCCCTCACGGGTTAAGAAAAATAAGAACTAGTTATGTTTCCTCCCTTTTTTTATCAGTACTTGTAATTGGTACTTTTGACTTTGTAAATAAGAAGAGTTAAATGAAGAAATAAATTCATTTTGAGTGTTTTAAACTCTTGAATTTTTCTTATTCCTACTTGATTGAAAGGTAATACAGGAGTCGACCTTGAAGTTGGTTGCCTAGGCTCGAGAGAGTCGACTAGGTCTTTCCTTTCCCACAAGGCCGAGAGGCGACTTTTTTGATTCGGCCAAAGGATTGTGCCTTGGGTTTACTCCTGATAAGGTACCAATGACTTGATTTCGACTAAAGAGTCAAGTGCCTAGGTGACTAGGTCTTCCATTTCTCCTAAGGCCGAGAGGCGACTATTGGAGTCGGTCAAAGGGTTGTGCCTTGGGTATATTCCTGATAAGGTACCAAGGACTTGATTTCGACTAAAGAGTCGAGTGCCTAGGTGACTAGATCTTCCATTTCCCCTAAGACCAAGAGGTGACTGTTGGAGTCGGTCAAAGGATTGTGCCTTGAGTTTATTCCTGATAAGGTACCAATGACTTGATTTTGACTGAAGAGTCGAGTACCTAGGTGACTAGGTCTTCCATTTCCCCTAAGGCCGAGAGGTGACTGTTGGAGTCAGCCAAAGGGCTGTGCCTTGGGTTTATTCCTGATAAGGTACCAAGGACTTGATTTTGACTGAAGAGTCAAGTGCCTAGGTGACTAGGTCTTCTATTTCCCCTAAGGCCGAGAGGCCATTGTTAGAGTCGGCCAAAGGGTTGTTCCTTGGGTTTATTCCTGATAAGGTACTAAGGACTTGATTTCGACTGAGGAGTCGAGTGCCTAGGTGACTAGGTCTTCCATTTCCCCTAAGGTCGAGAGGCAACTGTTGGAGTCGTCCAAAGGGTTATGCCTTGGGTTTATTCCTGATAAGGTACCAAGGACTTAATTTTGACTAAAGAGTCGAGTGCCTAGGTGACTAGGTCTTCCATTTCCCCTAAGACTGAGAGGTAACTGTTGGAGTTGGCCAAAGGGTTATGGCTTGGATTTATTCCTGATAAGGTACCAAGGACTAGATTTCGACTGAGGAGTCAAGTGCCTAGGTGACTAGGTCTTCCATTTCCCCAAAGGCCGATAGGTGATTGTTAGAGTCGACCAAAGAGTTGTGCCTTGAGTTTATTCCTGATAAGGTACCAAGGACTTGATTTGCTACATTTACCAGTTGTTATAGTGACGCAAAAGTTTGGCTAAAGCCTTTTCATTAGATATGTTATCTAAGGAAAGCATTCTTCAGAGGAAATCTTCAAAATTTTAAAGATTATACTGGAATTTAAAGGAAATACCGTCGTAGGTGTTCAATATTCCATGGGTGACTAAGGATTCATCCATCTGGAGCTTTCAACCAATAAGTGTTGGCTCTGAGCTCCTCCAGAACCGTATAGGGACCCTCCCAATTAGGAGCTAGCTTGCCTCGCTGAGTATCTTTATCGAATGCCACTTTTTGAAGGACAAGGTCTCTAGCCATGAATCTTCTGGGACGGATCTTCCTGTTGTAATAGCGGATGATCCTTTGCTGATTAATGACCTAAGTATGAAGTGCTTTCTCTCTGACTTCTTCTAAAAGGTCGAGGCCGACTCGAAGTCCTATTGAGTTCAGGTCTTCATCAAAGTGTCGCAGCTGAATAGTCGACATGCCCACTTCAACCGGAGTAACCGCTTCATCCCCATATGTTAGCTTAAAGGGGGTCTCCCTAGTTGAATTCTTATGGGTTGTTTGGTACGACCATAGGATGCTCGGCAACTCTTCAACCCAATATCCTACGACGGTGTCCACCTTCTTCTTTAATGCTTGGAGGATGCATTTGTTAGTAGCCTCCATAAGGCCATTTGATTTTGGATGAGAAACTAAGGCAAACTTGAGGTGGATGCTGTATTCCCCACTAAAGTCACGGAAACCCTTGGCTATCAAATTGGGTGTCGTTATCAGTGATAAGTGATCGGGGCATGCCGAAGCGACAAATGATGAATTTCCACACGAAGTTGGTGATGTTGCTCTCACCAATCCTAGCCAATGGTTCGGCCTCGATCCACTTGGTGAAGTAGTTGATTGCCACAATAAGAAATTTACTCTGCCCTGAGGCTAAAGGGAGAGGCCCTAATAGATCCAAGACCCACTGGGCAAAAGGGACAGGGCTCAAAAATTAGAGTCAACTCGGTCGCGGATGCTCTCGGAATGGATGAGAAATATTGGCACCTCTGACAACGAGATACGAGCTTCGTCGACTCGACTAAGATAGTTAGCCAATAATAACCCTGTCAGATAATTTTTTGTGCTAAGGTTCGAGCTCCTGGGTGATTCCCGCATATACCCTTGTGAATTTCTCTAAGCACATAGAGGGCTTCTGGCGGTCGCAGACATCACAAGTAGGGTCCTATGCTACTCCCAATATAGGACATTCGGTAGAGCTGATCCTCTATCATGAGATAGCGATGAGAATTCTTCAGCAAGCGCTTGGCTTTGACCCGATCCTCAGGTAAGACACCTTATGTTAAGTAGAGGAGAATGGGATCTAGCCAGCATGGTGATGCAGGGTCTTCTATTTCCATAACATTCTTCAATGGTTTGGAAATGCTGGGATGCTCCAATGTGTCTCTATAAATAGGTCCGGAGCTCATTCCCTAACTTGTTGATCCCAGTTTGGAGAGAGCGTCTGCTCGAGCGTTGAGGACCCGGGGGACTTGGACTATCTTGGACTCCTGAAAAGTTGATAAAAGTTCTTTGGCAATTTTGAGATATAGGGTCATCCTAGGGTCCTTGGCGGCATAGCATCCCTTGATCTGGTGGACTATCAGCTACGAGTCAGCTAGGATATAAAGGCTTCTGGCTTTCAAAGCCTGAGCTGCTCGGAGGCCGGCAAGTAGATCCCCATACTCGGCTTTGTTGTTCGAGGTCGAGAACTTGAATGAGATGGAATGCTAATATGTTATCCCATCAAGGCTTCGTAGAACCACTCCTGCTCCACTGCCAGCTTCCCCTGAAGATCCATCTACTTACAATATCCACCAAGAGGCATACTCTGGTGAATCATGCTCTAATGTGCGATGAGTCAGTGGAGCTGCCTGTTGCTTCGGCAATAAAGGCTACAAGGTCGGCAAGTACACGTCCGATTCATTACTTTAGGGAGTTGACTTGATCAAGAAATCCATCAAAGCTTGAGCTTTGATAATCATCTGAGGTTCGAACTGGATGTCATGTTCACTGAGCTCGACCGCCCAAGCAACCATTCTTCCTGACGTCATTAGGCTGCCCAAAGCTTTCTTCAAAGGAAGGCTCGTCCTGACAACAATGGCATGATCTTGGAAATAGGGACCGAGTCTTCTGGCCGTAAAGGTGAAAGTAAAGGCGACTTTCTCTATGAAAGGATAATTGAGCTCGCCGGTTCAGAGGATTTGACTCCCATAATAGACAGGCTTCTGAATATTTTCTTCCTCCCGAACAAGGACAAAGCTCACTGCTTCGGAGGAGATGTCTATGTACATGAACAAAGTCTCTCCTTTCATAGATTGGCTCAATAATGGCTTAGTGCTTAGATAGGCTTTGAGATCCTGAAATGCTGCTTTGCATTCAGCTGTCCAGGTTATACCCTCTTTTGGGTTTCTGCTTCCTCTTAGGACTTTGAAGAAAGGGAGGCTTCTCTCCACAGATTTAGACAAGAATCGTCCTAGGGCTACAGCCCTCCCGTTCAACTTTTGAAGCTCTTTCATAGTACGAGGTTCAGGGAGTCACTCTATGGTGGCAATTTTCTCAGGATTGATCTCAATACCTCTTTAGGTAATCATAAACCTGAGGAACTTTCCTGATTATACTCCAAAGGCACACTTGGCTGGATTAAGCTTCATCTGATAGCGCCTAAGGGTTGAAAAGGTCTCGTCCAAGTCTGAAATATGGGCGGACGCTTTTTTGGATTTCACCAACAAGTCGTCCACATAGGCTTCAAGGTTTCGACTGATTTGGTGTTGAAAGACCTTGGCTACGAGCCTCTGACAAGTGACCCTAGCATTTTTCAACCCAAACGGCATCATCTTGTAGCAATATGTGCCCATATCGGTGACGAATGAAGTCTTCTTTTGATCATTTCTCGCCATGAAAATTTGATTATAGCTAGATAAGGCATCCATGAAACTGAGTAGTTCATGTCTTGCACTCTCGTCAACTAGCTGGTCAATCCGAGGTAGGGAGTAGCTATCTTTGGGACAAGCTTTATTGAGGTTAGTAAAATCTACACACATCTTCCACTTGCCTAATGCTTTCTTCACCAGAACAACATTGGCCAGCCATTCTGGATATTGGACTTCTTAGATAAAGTCAGCTATCAGAAGTCGCTTTTTTCGTCTGCCGCCACCTTTTGACGCTCTGGGCCAAGATGTCTCTTCTTCCGTCGAACTAGTTTGACATGTCTGTCCACAGCCAATTCCTGGCTTATGACTTCAGGGGGAGTCCCCGACATGTCATCAGATTCCTAAGCAAATACATCTGTATTGGCTTTTAGGAACTTGATCAGAGCCCCTCTCAAGGGCTCGACTAGATCAGATCCCACCTTGATCGTCTTCATTCCTGCCGAGTCAATTGGGATTTCTCAGAGTTCCTCTACCGGTTCGGTCCTTGGTTTCTTAGCCGTTTTATCCATTTGGAAACAGACTTTTTTGATGGACAATGTACCTTATGCACCCTTTCCTTTGATTAAGAGTAGATAATAAGACATGACTTCTTTTTGGCTGCTTCAGGCAACTCCAACTCCGTTTGGAGTCAGAAATTTGAGAATCTGGTGGAAGGTCGAAGTGATCGTCCGCAAGGTGTGGAGGGTAGTTCGACCCAATATGACATTATGGGCTGACTTTAAATCTGATTGAAGGTTCTAGTGTACAGGATGTCTATCGAGCTTCCCGTGTCGATCATAATCCGTTTCACTTGATAACCATTAATGGTCGCAGTGATGATGAGAGGATCATCATGGGGTGTTTCAACACCCTGTAGGTCCTCGTCGCTAAATGACACGAGCTCTCTCGTCTTTGTCTTCTTGGTATCATGGTCGACTTACAATATTCTCCTGGTATATCTCTTCCGCTCATTTTTGGATGACCCCCAATGGTCGGGCCACTATTGATTACATTGATGACTCCTTTATAGGGAATCTCCACAGGTTGTTCATTTACTTGGTGTAGGCATCGAAAATTGCCTATAGGTCTCCACGAATAGCTCAGTGTTAAGGAACGACAATGAACGTCACCATCTGGTTCACATGGGTTCAATTGACGTCGGTGAACGTTTGAAGTGAACCGACGAACTACGTGAACTGACAGAATTTCGGAATAACGAAGGCACAGGCTAATCGAGAGCCCCACGATGTTTACAAAAAGAACAACGCCTTTCGTGTCTCGGGGCTGATAGAAATATTCGTCAGAATTCCAACACAATTCGAATCACTAAAATCCGAGTTCGGACGAAGAATTTACAGCGGAGTGTCTCGGATTTTTGGAGACACCCCAGGGGTGTCCTAGATTTTTGGGGACGCCCCAGGGGTGTCCTAGATTTTTGAGGACGCCCCAGGGGTGTCCTAGATTTTTGGGAACGCCCTAGGGGTGTCCTAGATTTTTGGAGACGCCCCAGGGGTGTCCTAGATTTTTGGGGACGGCCCAGGGGTGTCCTAGATTTTTGGGGACGCCCCAGGGGTGTCCTAGATTTTTAGGGACGCCCCAGGGATGTCCTAGATTTTTGGGGACGCCCCAAGAGCGTCCTAGATTTTTAAGGACACCCCAGGGGTGTCGCCTATAAATAGAAGCCTTAGGCCTCACTTTTTGGGGATCTGGATTTTTAGAGAATTGGCGAAGCCCTGCTGGAGTGAAGAGTGATCAAGCACTTCAACACAAGAGAGTTCTTCATCAGATCTACATCACCCGCATCCGTTCCTTAGCATTACCCCTCGTCGGTAATCCTAAGAAGAGCAAATATCTCGCTTAATCCGAGATAGGCGCTCCAAGTTTCTAGATCTCCTCGCGGATCGACGAAGCTCTGCCCGATTTTTCTAGATCAGATCTGATTGTCAGGTAGTCCACGGATATCGACGTCCCCGTCACAGGCTAAAGACCCACGCAAGCAAGAGACGATAAACGGATCTTGTGTTTATTTTCAAGAAAGTTGTAATTTTTATTTTTGTTATTTGAATTCATTTGTAACGTTTGAAGTTTTAATAAAATCAATGATGAAGGCAACTTTTGACGAAAACAAGCTGGCGACCACAGTGGGAGTCAACAGCCTCGCTGCTGAGGCTATCGTGACGCAACCGGTATTCAAGATCCGGGTGAATGAAGAGATCGAATATGAGTTCGATCAGCAGAAGTTTGAAGAGTACCTCTCTTCCTCCTCCTCCAGATCCGCCTCTCCAAACAGGCGCAGGAAGACCTCATCTTCCAAAGACGTTCGCGAGACCTTCGGCTCTAAGATCCAAGATCCCGTCGCCGCTGCTGCACCCGTGCTCCGTGACATCCCGACGGCATCCAAAGAGGTCGAGGCTGCAGATCCAGATCTCCCTTCCGCCACAAAGGCGACTGCTGAAGTTGCTCCAACTTTGTCGAAGAGAGCGCGCCAAAGACGACGACAACGCCTTGCACGACAATTGGCCAAAGCCGCAGAATCGATGGACGGGATCCACTACAATGAGGACCTGAAATCAAGGCAGCGCCAAGAACAACAACGGCGAACCGACAACCTCTCCTCTAAGGCGGAGACAAACGAATGGGTCCGCGTTAAGAAGACTCGCTCCACTCTCGAAGAGCGAATCAAGAAACGCCGCGCATTGCTAGCGCATGCCCGAATCCTTCTACAGAAAGCGAAAGAGATGAAGAAAGAAGAGGCGATCAAGAAACCGTCTACACATAAATGGGTTTGGGTGCCAAAGTCAAAACCGGCACCTAAGACAAAAGTGGGTGAAGTTATCACCCAAACTTCTTCAAATCCAGATCTCGTTTCTCCTGTTCCTGCGCCTCCAACGGAGCCAGGCAAGAACGTGGGTCCTTCAAGATCCAGGGTTCCTCTGAAAGGTCGCCTCGGTCCTTTACCTGAGAACCGAGGTAAAGCACCTGTCAAGGAGCGATTGGAACCATTGAAAGGTCCCCAAATGACAAATCAGACTGGGGGTCGTATCAATCCCCCCAAGAAAGATAATAGAGGGAAAGCCCCTGTTACCGACCGTATTGGATTGCGGGTCGAAGTGCAAGAGCCCGTTAAGTTTTCACGCTCGCAGAAGCGTAAACTTGAATGCGCGACTTTTGAAAATGCTAATAAAGCGTCGCGTCCCCAGAAGGAAGCACATTCGTCTGATGATGATGGTGTTATACCTGGGAAGTCATGCCAACACTCTATGAGTTGCTCCAGTTATCAAACTGACGAGTTATACTATAGAGCTGGGGGTATGGATAAGTCTCGAAAGAGATACGCTCAAGACACGGAGTCTCACTGTCCGAGCTGGGGGTATGGATAAGTCTCGAAAGAGATACGCTCAAGACACGGAGTCTCACTGTCCGTGTGCCAATATCATCAAGGCGGTGTTGTCAGAATGCTGCTGTTCTAAAACCCCAAAGAGAATCTCGGTGTTCGAGAGAATTTCCAAGCCAAGGCGTTTTTGTGGGAAGAAGTTCGTTCGACAAGAGGACGAATACCTAGAAGTGTCTGCTAATATGACCGGCAGAGGGAAATCGACACGACACTTTAGCCCAGATCGGTTTGCCGGAGTATCCCAACATATGACTCGATCGCGATCAGGGATCAATACGCGAAAGAATTACCAAAGGATGCAAAAGGGACTTCCTTTGGAAGAGGAGGTGTCAGATGCTGGTTCAGATTCTTGCTCGGCTATAGCGTCCGATGACACGGCTTCTAGTATGGGACAACCCTACGAGTCATTCATGATCAGCGCCGAGCAAGTAACCAAGATGCTTGAAGATGCCCTGAATAAGCAGAAGGAAACTTTCAAGTTCGAGATGGAGATGGCCATGCAATGGATGAGAGAGATGCATGACCAGCAAATTGCGGCACTGACAATTCACCAAGGAGAACCCAGTCGACGTAATAATCAGAATTAAGATGAGAATGAACGGGAAGAGAATAATGTCAACATAAATATCCCTCCTGTCAACAACGACAATGGAGGTGGTCCCTCGGATGATAATACGAAAGAAGATCACGTTACCTCTCCCCGAAGCCACTCGAAGACAGGTACGAGTGAAGATAAGAAGATGAAGGACTTGGAGAGCAAAATCAATGCGTTGATGAATGGGCACTCTTCGCGGAGCGGCCTTCGATTGGTATCGTCGCCTCAAACCGGGGAGTATCAGCAGTTGGGACGACATGGAGGATATGTTTCTGACTAACTTCTTCGACGACGACACTGAGGTCTCAATCGGCACTCTGTTTGATGAGAAGCAGAAGAATGGTGAGACAGTCGAAAACTTTGTGAAAATATTCCGAAATAAAGCAATGAATTGTAGGGATCCGGTCAGCGAAGACTTCATCCTCGAGACCTGTCATAACGATTTCATCCTCGAGACCTGTCATAATAATCTTTCATTAGACATCCTGGAAGCCATGGGAATGGCACCGCCAAAGACCTGGAAGGATCTGAAGGTGCGAGGAAAACGAGCCGAACGATTCCTTAAAAGGAAGAAGGCGGAAAGGGGTCAAATAGCGAATAACGCTCCACAACCAAATT